TTGGAGAGAGAGTATACCGTACTGAATTATGGAGTTAGAGCAATGGCAATCAATGTCCCTGGATTTGCTTACTACAAGGCACTTAAGGTAAGATTCGAGTTTTGGTTCGTTTTCTTAGACGAGGAAGTCCAATATAGTAGCAGGGAAGTAACTGTCCTCCATTCAAGTTTTCCACAACCCACTCATGAAAAGCGTACAAATATATGTTGGTGTCAATCATGTGATGAAAAAATAAATCAAAGGAAAACTCCTACTTAAGCATTTAAATGAAGTGGTTCTGATACATGGATCCTTCGTTTGATACCAAATTGTCTCTAGTTGAATGCTTAAATCGTGCGTTACCATTTCAGGCACGTAAGAAGTTGGTCGCTACTTTCCAGTCCATAGTGGACGAGCGAAGGGTGAGGAGAAGGAAGAATCTATCGACACATAAGAAAGACATGATGGATACTCTTATGGAGGTGGAAGATGAGAATGGAAGAAAATTGACTGATGAAGAGATCATTGATGTTCTGGTAATGTATCTGAATGCAGGTCACGAATCTTCAGGGCATATCACTATGTGGGCTACCCTTTTTCTGCAGACGCATCCTGAAATTTTTGAAAAAGCTAAGGTACCTAAATCCAGTTTATTATTTTTGAGTTGATCTTGTCCTCGATATTATAGGGTCAATAATTAGGGTGATGTTTCATGCGCTGCATTATTGGACGGAACTTGACCTAGACACTATAATTAACAATATTTTTAACTTGTTTTTTTGCTTATACTGTTCAGAACTATCCAATCTATCTTATAAAACAAGCCATTCTGATGACTCAGTGTTATCTTCAGGATCATGGTTAAGATCTTAGGAAATTGCCTTAAATTATATTGGTTCAATCATAGTTCGAATTATTTTTTTCTAACCCAGTTTTTCTCTATATTGTCATCGATAACAATTCAGGCAGAACAAGAGGCAATTGTGAAAAATAAGCCACCCGGCCAAAAGGGTATAACACTGAAGGAAGTAAGACAGATGGAATATCTTTCTAAGGTGGCAAGCTTTTTTAGCCTTCAAAATTCAGCTTCACCAGATTAATTCATATTCGCATGTACTGAAAATTTGTTCTTTTCAACCTAACCTTAAGGTAATTGATGAAACGCTTCGTGTGGTTACATTCTCGTTCGTGGTCTTCAGAGAGGCAAATAAAGATGTCAATATCAGCGGTCAGTAAGAATACGCATTTTCTTCAACTTTATCAAGTTGATACAAAAAAATTTGCCATTTCATGTGCCAGACTAATGTGTTAGAAATGTACTTTCAATTATGTATGACGACAAAAGTTGGCTTGTCTTAATTTCAGGTTACACCATTCCTCGTGGATGGAAAGTTTTGGTCTGGTTTAGGACTGTTCACCATGACTGGGAAACATTTGTTGAGCCAAAGAAGTTTGATCCTTCCAGATGGGATGTGAGTTTTTTTTCCCCTCATTTTTTCTGAATCTACGAGTACATCTAGAATGAATCCAGTGGAGTGGGAAAAAAAATGATTCATGTAATCGACCCCAAATTTATTGGAACACGTCTTAGTTTGGTTTTGCTGTTGTATGCTGATTCTGATTCATGTACTGTGGACTGTGATCTACAGGGATTTACACCCAAAGCTGGAAGTTTCCTTCCTTTTGGAGGTGGAAGCAGACTGTGCCCAGGAAATGATCTTGCCAAGCTTGAAATTGCAATTTTCCTTCACTATTTTCTCCTTGGTTACAAGTGCGTTATACTGCTTTGCTCTCTCTCTCTCTCGTCTAAAATTCTAGATTCCCCCCCCCCCCCCCCCCCCAGAAATTTGCAGGTTCAAAATGAGAAAAGTTCAATTGATTATGCAAATGAAATATAATTCCTACGCATTTTTTGAGCAACCATTATCCTCCAATGTTTATTATATTTTGCAGGTTCGAGCGTTCCAATGCTGCTTGTCCGTTAATGTACCTGCCACATTGTAGACCTAAAGATAACTGCTTGGGAACAATTAAAAAAACATCTGGTATAGACGACAAGATTTTACCAGAGTTCCAGGAGGCAATGAATGCTCAAGAAGAAATATCCCTGGCAGGCGACTAGGGTTTTGAGCGTCGTTTTATTTCTTGAACTATATATAACCTAAGAAGGAAAAATAAATATCAACGTTATCAAGCTTCAGTACTAAAATAATACTCTCGATCCTAGGAGCTGTTTTCTGTCCATAGAGAAAGGGAAAAGTATCTATGATGCTGAAATCAGTGAACTATGGATTTGTTATACATATTGAATATATTATGCATTTATGATGCACAATTATGCTACATAACTATTTCATGATTTGAAAATATTGCTAGCTTTTATGTTTGATGTTTTTTTGTGCATTGTTGGAATTGGTTCAAATAAATAAACTGAAAATTGGGAAATGTAATGGTGTGTAAAAGTGGAAAATGAAAATGTGTAACTTCGTGTCAATTTCAACAAAATATTCGGATTTGATCCGATTGTCAAATTACAAAAGTAAACATACCAATTTATTCTATTCATTGAGTAGATTGTTGTGGTATATTTGAAATCTCGAAACCAATTTTGGATGAATGAAAAATTGCGGTCCAAAATTGGAAGAAATGAAGTGTTGCAATTTTTTGAAATGATGCATATTTTGGCCCAAGTGTTGCAACTTTTCGAAAGGATGCATGTTTTGGCTCCCATTACTTCATTTGCACCATTTCTACATCTATAAATAGGACCCTATGGACATGATTTTGGATACATCAATTGCATTGAGTACTCATTTTCCTCTTGTAATTATCTTCTTTCTATTTCTATAGCATTTTTATGCATTTTCTTTGTAGAGGAAAAATTATGTCAAAAGTTCGCCGGTTTCTTGTGGTTTGAAATCCTGCTACCACAAGTTATGAATCTATTATATCTTGGTTGACAAGTGCCATTCATTGTGAGTATCGTAGCGGCGCAATTTATCTTAATGAAAGAGATAATATCTTGTCTTGAATTATTCTCTATTTTGTACTCCTTCTTAATTTTTGTTTTTCGTAATCGTTTACCACACTATATATACCGAAACTCTGTTCAAATTTTCATATAAATTGTGTTTTGATCACTCTCCCACGGGTTAAAACTTGTCGAACAAATATATCAAAAACCAACATTTACATAGCATGTTTCTTTAAGTTGTCTCCAACAAACTTAAAACAAATTTCTTGTGTCTTTTTGGTTGGTTGTGGACAAACCATTACTTTGCTTGAATAGTGCTCTGTGTACTATTTTTTCACCGATATTATTATCATTTTGTTGAACTTCTGTTTGTGTAACAGAAATGACTACCATTGAGACTTCGTTAAGTCAAAATGGTTTCAATAATGTAGTATCCCCGTGGTCGTACCGTTGCATATTACTACTATCTCACATAGGGAAAAGCCTAAAAAATTTGCATAAGTGGACTTCAAGAGATGGCAACAAAAGATATTGTTTTATCTCACCACTCTTAATTTGGCTAAATTTCTAAAGGAAACTGCACCAACTGTACAAGAATGAAAAAATAATTGTGAATCAATTATTGCTTTAGATGCATGAAAACACTCGGACTTCCTATACAAGAACTATATCCTAGGCAGATTGGATAATACATTATATGGGGTGTATAGTTCAAATGAATCAGTCAAGGAACTATGAAATTCTTCGGAGACACGATACAAGATCGAGGATGTCGGAACAAAAAAGTTCATTGTCAGCAAATTTTTGGACTACAAGATAGTGGATTCCAAAATCGTGATTAGCCAAGTGCAAGAGATTCAAGTCTTGTTGCACGACATCCATGCTGAGAAAATGGAATTGAGTGAATCATTCCAAGTGGCTGCCATTATTGAGAAACTCCCTCATATGTGGAGAGATTTCAAAAATTACCTTAAGCACAAATGCAAGGAAATGAATTTGGAAGAATTGATTGCGCGCTTGAGGATTGAAGAGGACAATCGAAAAATCGAATGAAGGCCGGTTGATCAAGATGGTACAAACTTTGTTAAAATAGAACCAAAGGCAACAAATAAGAAACGAAAGGCTCCTAATTATGCACCGCGAAGAGAAAATTCCAAGAAGGTTAAGAAGTTCAAAGGGAACTGTTACAACTGTGGTAAGGCTGGACATCGTTCAAGTGAATGTCGAAAGTTAAAGAAGAATGTCCAAGCCCACATGGTTGCAAATGACACTCTATCCAACATTTATCTGCAGTAGTGTCCGAATGCAATATGATTAGAAATACTAGAGAATTGTGGATTGACACCGGCGCTACCAGCCATGTGTGTGCGGACAAGACGATGTTCTCCAACTATCAAGAATTGAACGGGGAACAACTATACATAGGAAACTCTACAAGTTCTAAAGCTGAAGGACAAGACATAGTCACTTTGAAAATGACATCCGGGAAAGAACTCGTCCTCAACAATGTCCTACATGTGCCGAAAATACGAAAGGATTTAGTGTCCGAGTCTTTACTTAGCAAGAATGGTTTTAAACTTGCATTTGTATCCGATAAATTTGTATTGTCTAAAAATGAGTTGTATGTAAGGAAATGATACATGTGTGATGGAATGTTCAAGTTGAATGTTCTTACAATTGTACCGAAGCAAGTAGTTATGAATAAAACTATAAATTTTCTTTTCTTGCTCGAGCCTTCATGTTTGTGGCATAATCGATTCGGGCATGTGAATTACAAATCGTTGCGCAAACTAATGAATCAAAGTTTAATTTCGGTGCATAAAATCAATCCTAATTATAAATGTGAAGTATATGTTGAAGCAAAATTGGCTAATACACCGTTCCATTCAATACAAAGGAATACAACCCCTCTTGAATTAATCCATAGCGATGTATGTGATCTAAAATTTGTACAAACTTGAGGTGTAAGAAATACTTTATGACATTTATTGATGATTGTACAAAGTTTTGTTATGTCCTTCTTTTCAGAAGTAAAGATGTAGATGCATTCATAATCTATAAGGTTGAAGTTGAAACACAACTTGAAAAACAAATAAAGAATATTCATAGTGATAGAGGAGGTGAATATGGGGTAACATTTAAAGATTTTTGCTCTGAACATGAAATTGTTCATCAAACAACGGCACCTTACTCTCCTTAATCAAATGGTATTGCAGAACATAAAAATCAAACACTTAAAAAAATGATGAATGTTATGTTAAGAAGTTCGGGTTTACCTCAAAATATGTGGGGGAGGTTATTTTAACGGTAAATAGTCTTCTTAATAAAATACCTCTTAAGAAAATAAAAGAGATACCATATGAACTATGGAAAGGTCATCCTCCATCCTACCAATACTTGAAAGTATAGGGTGTTTGGCTAAGGTTGAGGTGCCTAAGCCAAAACAAGTGAAAATCGGTCCTAAAATGATAGATTGCATATTTATTTGATACGCCAATAATAGTAGTGCATATCGATTTCTTGTACACAAATCCAAAATATAAGACGTACATAAAGGGACCATAATCAAATCAAGGAATGCGATATTCTTTGAAAATATTTTTCCTTGCAAAGATAAGGAAAATACGAGTTCTAATAAGAGAACATATGAAATTACCAATGGAACTTCAAATGAGGAAGAACCAAGGCGTAGTAAAAGGGACATGACTTACAAGATGTTTGACCCAGATTTTCTAACTTATATGACAAATGACGATCCAAAAACTTTCGATGAAACAATGTCTACACCAGAAGCACCGCATTGGAAAGAAGCTATCAATAGCGAGATAGATTCTATAATGCAAAACCATAAGTGAGAGTTGGTTGATTTACCTCCCTATAACAAGCCTTTAGAATGCAAATGGATATTCAAAAAAATTGAAATCTGATGGATCCATTGATAAATATAAGGCCAGATGGGTTGCTAAAGGATAAAGACAAAAAGAAGGACTTAACTTCTTTGATACCCACTTACCCGTGACTAGAATCACGTCGATAAGGTTGTTAATTGTAATTGCGGAAATACATAATCTTGAGCTTCATCAAATGGATGTAAAAAAGGCATTTCTAAACAGTGAGTTAGAAGAGGAGATTTACATACAACAATCGGAAGGGTTCGTTTCTCCTAACCAAAAACAAAAAGTGTGTAAACTTGTTGAGTCTTTGTATGGATTAAAATAGGCTCCTAAACAATGACACCAAAAGTTTGACAAAATAATGTTGTCAAATGGATTCAAGATCAACGAATGTGACAAATGTGTATATATTAAACATACACCGAATGTCTATGTAATTGTATGTTTATACGTGGACGACATGTTAATAATGAACAATAGTCACAAAATGTTACTTAACACCAAAATGATGCTAACAAAGTATTTTGATATGAAAGATATGGGTGTGGTAGATGTAATCTTAGGGATTAAAATCTCTATAACGTAGGAGAAATTGTATTTGCACAATCTCACTATATAGAAAAAGTACTTAAGAAGTTTAACGTGTTTGAGGAAAGTTCTGCAAGAACTTCTCTTGATCCGGGTATGTACTTAGTCAAGAATACGGGAGAAAACATATCACAACTAAGGTATTCACAAATAATTGGCAGTCTTATATATGTTACAAACTGCACTCGACCGGATATTACTTTTGTGGTAAATAAACTTAGCAGATTTACAAGTAATCCAAAAATGATCCTTGGAAGGCTTTGACGAGGGTTCTAAGGTACTTAAAGTATAACTTAACATATGGATTACACTTCACAAAATATCCTACGGTACTAGAAGGATATTGTGGTGTGAATTGGATATTCGATATGAAGGATTCCAAGTTCGCTAACGGTTATGTATTCACCATTGATGGAGTTGCTGTATCATGGAAATCAATAAAGAAAACGTGCATAGCTCGATCAACGATGGAATCTAATTTTATTGCTTTGGACAAAGCAGGAGAAGAAGCAGAATGATTTCGAAATTTCCTAGAAGATGTTCCAAATTGGCCCAAGCCGGTACCTACAATAAGTATACACTGTGATAGTCAATTGACAATCGGAAGGGCTCGAAGCAGCATATATAATGATACGTCTAGATATATTCGTCGTAGACATAACACCATTAAGCAACTGATCTCAAATGACGTTATCTCCATTGACTATATGAAATCAAATGAGAATATTGTGGATCCACTTACAAAAAGTTTGCCTATATCGAGAGGAATGAGATTAAAGCCTACTATGTAAGAGTTTTTGCAATGATAACCCAACCTTATTAACTGGAGATCCCAAGATCTTGGTTCAAAGGGACAACTAAGTTGTGAAATTCCATGAAGCACTTAGAAAATTAGAATTCCTAACTCATTCTTATGATACTAAAGTGCTTTCTGCAGAGTGGATAGAGGTTAAGATTATCTTTTAATGATTCATATATCTTGATTAAGTCAAGTGGAGTAGGACATAATACTCTTAATAGGAGGTCTTCTATGTAAGTGTGAAGTAGGGCCGCTTCGATGAGAATTGTTTAAGGCTTGAATTCTCTAAACAATTATGAAACCAAGAAGGGTTCAGGGTCATAATGAATCAAGTCATGAGAACTAAGTATGGAATATGGAAGATATCTGTGTTAGTACTGTTGTCTTGACTTACACCAAATGCTGAGTGGTTCAAAACCTATGGTTTACCAATTAGCCGAGTAAATCCGATAGTATTTCATTGAGGGAGGTTCAAGACTAGAAACCACCATCCCTGATGCAGTATTTCTCCGCTTCTTCTCTACATTGTATCATATCATCGCATTTACATATGTGTACCCAAATTTCCATTCATGTGGGGAATTGTTGGAATTGGTTCAAAAAATTAATTGAAAATTGAAAATTGAAAAGGTGTGTAAAAGTGAAAAATGAAAAGGTGTGACTTCATGTCAACTTCAACTTCCAATAAATGAGAAATTACGGTTCAAAATTGAAAGAAATGAAGTGTTGCAACCTTTCGAAAGGATGCAAATTTTGGCCAAGTGTTGCAACTTTTCGAAAGGATGCATGTTTTGGCTCACACTACTTTATTTGTACCCTTTCTACATCTATAAATAGGATTTTATGGATATGGTTTTTGGTACACCAATTGCATTGAGTACTCATTCTCCTCTTGCAATTATCTCCTTTATATTTCTATAGCATTTTCATACATTTCCTTGGTTTGAAATGTTGATACAATAAGTTGTGAACCAATTGTATCTTGGGAGACAAGTTCCATTCATCGTGAGCGCCGTAACAGGACAATTTGTCTTAAGGAAAGAGATAATATCTCGCCTTGGATTTTCTCTATTTTCTACTCCTTAATTTTTGTTTTTCATAATCGTTTACCACATTATATATACCCAAACTCTGTCCAAGTTTCTATTTAAATTGTATTTTGATCACGCTCTGCGGGTTAAAACTAGTCAAAAAATATATAAAAAACCAACCCTTACATAGCCCATTTCTCTAAGTCATCTCCAACATGCATCTTAGTGGGAATAAGGACTGAACTGATGAAGTGAGATAAGATGGTTGATCACCGTATTAGAATCGAGTGGAAAACAACTGAATCTGATCTATAAGTTGAGGGTATGTCAAAGATAAAATATAAACAAACCACTTTAATTCCTCTTTAAAAGATAAATACCTCGAATTCAAGTTTCTCCACCGTTGATTTAGCAAAATCTCATGTAATAACATCAATAAATAATTTTATTACTCTTTAAAAGCTTAAATGATGCAAATCAATAGTATGAGTTTAAATAATTGTTTTGCAGTTTATTTTTGTTTCTCTTCTTAAGAAGCCCTTATTTGGTTCCCTTTTCTTAAAACCCACACTACAAAAACACTATGATTTTTGAGCAACCAAAAATTAGTCGACGAAAATACTCTTTTACTGACTAATAAAACTTCTTAGTCGGGCATACATTTTTCAACTGATTTTTCGCAACCAAATAGAAATGGTCAATGAAAATCTTCTCTGCGGACTAACGTATAATTAACCACTATTCATCCGTGATCATCACGAGATCATGAGTCACACGATGATAAATGGTTTGAAGTTCTTCATTGCACTTAACTATCTTTATACCTTGATGGTTGATACTTTATATTATTGCCTATGCTACTGTTTTGAATTACACTAGTCTTCTATTTTTTGGAACTTGACTAGACTATTTTATTGCCTATGCTATTATTTTGGATTACATACGTCTATGTAGTTAATCATATTTTGGAATTGAAACTAACTTGTAAAAGTACAATATATTATTTTATGTACTTTGCTAGATGCTTTTGAATTGTAACAGTTGCGTGATTTCAGATATATCTTGATTTTGATTTTTGTTGGTGCATTGTTTATAAGTTGGGCTTTTAATCTGTTTTGAAAATTTGATTACTACACAGGTTAAAATAAAATTGAATAAAATCACATTTTTCGATTGAAACCATTGTTGGGAAATGTGGATTGCAAAGGTTCAAAATTGCTAGCTCAAAATCATATTTATCTACTTAGATATTTTACTCAAATATTTCATGGCATCTACAATTTTTATCGACTTTTCAACTATATATTTCATCAACTACCGGTACTTAATTTAATCATACCCACTAAAAATGGACAATATTCTTAGCTTATGTGAAAGAATTACGCGGAGCCATTAGTTTAAAACAACTTTATTTCCAGTGAGAAAAAATCTCCATGGCTAACACATTTAATGTATTTTAACCATTAAAATGAGCTTTTTTCGCCTGAAAAGTGGATTATTTTGAACCCATTGCTGCAAATTTCACTATCTATATATACTATGTTATAATGCTTGCTGTAATAAAATAGGATACTTTCAATTTAATACTTGCACAAAGAAAAGGAAAAATGCAGGCTATAAAGGAAAAGTTGAATGACATGAGCACCATGCGCAAGGCCAAGGCTGAAGCAAAAGAGGAAGAAAAGGTAAGAATAAATAATAATCAAATTTACAATTTTTTTTTTTAATGAGTGACACATTTGATAAGGTAAATTACACATCACTAAATAGTATAAAGAAGGAAAATAAGTTCAGCACTGTCAAGCAGGGGCAGAGCTAGCATCCAGCAAGGCCCTGTGGCCACCCGTGCTGGCTGTGTTGGAAATTTTTTTCCCTTATATTGGGTGGTCGCTCGAGTGGCCGTATGCTCACCTGGATTCGTTTCTACTCTCAAGTCATGTCTAATATTGCGTATATACCAAAGATGCTCTAAAAGTTCACAATTTGTAGGCGGAGAAAGAGTTGGCTAAAGCGCGGGTTGACGTCGCTCACGAGGTAAGACTGGCAAGAGAAGCTGAAGCTGCAATGGATATTCATGTGAACAAAGCTGCAGAAAAGGTGGCTCAACACGAAAGAAAACACGCACAAGACAGCACAAATCGCCAACAATACGGTGTGGAAAACAGTAGCAACCCGAGTAATGTTGGACATTCCACTGTTCCAACACATGGGGAGGGGACACAGGCGGCCGCCTACGGCTGGGACATGGCTGATCTTGGCTCTGCCGGAACAGGTGGCCCAACTAGCATGCCTGGCGGTCCTCCAGCAAAACACTTGCTATAGACAGTTATTTGCTATCTGATGTTGACCTAAGAATAAAAAGAGTAATTGCTCTTGACTGATATAATTTTTGTTTCAAGGTTGTTTTCATTTATGTTTCTTCGATTATGTTATTGTTTTTAATTCTTAATTTGCTTTGTCTAGCCATGCAAATAGAATTAAGTTAGTTGTACAACCAACTTGGTAATGTATGTGTTGAAAAGATCTTTGTTGTTGATTTCAAAAACAATTTTTCAAATAAATGAATATGATGCTTGTCAACTTATATGATTGTCAACCAAATTGTGCAAATAGCATGATTGATCAAAATATACGTTTTACGTGTCGTTTTTCAAGTTATCACGTAGAGTTGTATTTAATGTACTTCATGTTGCAAATTTTAATTGCAATCAATGTATCTAACTTTTTTCAACGTATTCCTATCCTTAATCTTAATTAGTTAGCATATCTTATTCTTGATGACGATTTTCGACTGACGATAAATATAATATCGAACATAACATACAACATGGGCCATTCGGTCGACATAATATGTCCCAACTTGTTAACCTAAAATATCAATTGTGTGACGTAAAAATAAATATGAATTGTATACATATGTTAAATACTGTGGACAAGAGTTATAATGCTCATTGTGAATGTAGCAACACCATGTCATACTATCACTAGTGACATGGCAATAACACGTTGTCAAATTCACAATGAGCATTATAAATTTTACCCATTGTAAAAACTGTATAAATAACTTGAGTTTTAATTCAATATCACTCACCATTGAAATATACAAGCAAAGATTTACCCTTGTACTATTCTTTACACTGTAATTAAGAAAATAAATTATTAAATAGAAAATCAGATATACTGATAGGGTCAAGTTTAGAAACTATTCTTTAATATTACCAAATTAATCAGGATGGACTATTATACTAAACTGATTTATAACATACAAAGTTCCTGTTTGGGGTAGATTTTAATCAGATTAAAATTTTAAGTCACAAGACACATTATGGAATTTATAACTTTTCAATCATGTATTTCATTAATTTTTATAAAAATCTACTAAAATCTTATATTGATCTACACCAAATAGGCGCCAAGCATAGCATGATGGATCTGAAGATCCTTTACGTGCCCTTCCCTTTATTGTGTGGTGTACAAGCCTGTGCAATGATTTTCGCCCCTTACGACCCCAAACTTTCTATTTCGTGGCTCGCCGAGTGCTCACGAGATTTTATTAAGCTCCTAGAAAGGGAAAAAAAAAAAATCCCAAAAATTTTTTAACCAAGAGACTTTTATGGAACAAGGGATTTTTCTCAATTCCTCGATCTTTAAAATGAACTAGACTAATGATTTTACAACCTTGTTCCATTTCTTGAAAGATTTCTCGAATCCCGAAGCAAGAGTAGAGGCTGTAACGACGAAAGCTGAATCTTGTCTTCACTATCGCGTTGATTGAAAATCATTGCACATGCTTCTACTCCACACAAGAAAGGTAGACTATTCGTGTCATCCTTAATGAAATTTTTTAAATGTACGGAGATTATTTTTTGTTTTGTGATGGTTTCTCAAGGTTTAAATAGACAGTGACTATTCCTAAAATAAATCTTCGAAAAATGACATTTACAGTCTACAGATAAGGATTAGTAATTTTGATTTTATCTACAAGTCCTGCGTGGATGGAAAATGTCATATTTTGAGTAATTACAATTGATTATGCCAATATTGGTATACTCCGAGGACTCTATCCCGAGGAGTCCATATGTGCTCCAACTCACCTTTTTGCCATATGTCCTCGTGATCTTCTGAGACCTCAAGGTATTTTGGTCCTCGAGGAAACTCATATGGATATGAACATCACCCCAAAGTTCTTGGGAATAATCCTCGGGACATACTCCACTAGCAGACCTTCTAAACCTAGGTGCCTAACAAACAAACACCTAAACACCCAAGAACTCTATATCAACTCTTATACCACTTGTCAGACAATTTCATTACGAGTAGGACATTCCTTATAAATAGGATTCCCTTGGATAAAAACATCCAACCGGCACAATCCTACTAGGAGTGCACTACCTACCTCTATAAAAATAGAGCCTTGAGCCATTATTCAGGTACGTTTTTTTATTATTTTTCAGTTTATAGTCTCACGCTTATAATTTCCTTTCTGACTTAAGTATCGAAGGGACAACGAGAACACACCTCGTTGCCTTTAATTCAGGTACCGGAAGACTACGATCGTACTCAATCCGAATCATCAAGCTCGAAAAATATACAGGTAGGATTTTTGGTAGCATCAACAATGATTTCAAAATAATGGTCAACAAATATGTTAAGAAATAATTAATATATTTGGGGTAAAACATCTACTAGTTTTTTGATTAATTCTCTTTTCTATAGTAATGATCAAATATTTAAAGTTTTAGGTAACTCTGTACATTTTCATATAGGATAATGAGGGATATCAATTTGTCTCCACAGTACAGTATTTCATTTTTTAATATTATTTGTTTGTCAATTATGATTTAATTTTAAATCAATTTAAAAATGCAAAAAATAAACACATGGGTTTGGAATAGCCAAACCCGCAATATTGGTTAATTGGTAGGTTGATTAGGTCATTAGATTTAAAAGATAGTCTGTGATATGTCCAAAAAATATTTTCAGTCGGACGGGTTCAAGCACATAATAGACATGTATCAAGTTTCGATAAAGGTCAGAAGGTTCGGACATACTCACTATTGCATTTTGACTGATAATGATTGAAATATACGGATCAGTTTGATTGCAAAGATGAAATTTGGGTGAAAAGAAACGAATTCAATGGAATTGAATTGCCTAAAAATTATTTTCTTGAAAATTGTCAATTTATTGTGTTTGATTGATATAATTTTCTACGTGAAAAATGTTAAAATAAAAGTGTTTTTTGGTGTTCGTTTGACTTTGTTGGGCATGAAAATTGTCAATTAAAGAGATATGATTTTCTGGTTTTGGGGATAAAATTTGTTTTCATTGCCAACAAAAAAATTCAAGAAAATCATCTATCTTTTAGTATTCGTTTGACTTTATTTAACATGGAAATTAGAAATTATATGGAAATATTTTTTCACAATGATTTTTAAATTTTGTTTTCATTTCGCTGCAGTAAGATGGAAAATGAATCCAAATTCATCAAAAAGTTGGAAATTGTCTACGCGGCCAAGGAAAGTGGAAAAGGTTTTTCATGGAAAATTTTTCCTACCAAACTCCATAAAAGTTGAAAAATCTTGGTTATTTTGGAAAATGGTAGGCAATCAAACAGGGCCTAATAAAATTAACTGGTTCATATGATGGCTCTCTTAGTAAATACAAAATATGTACTTATTTGGGAGAGCCAAATCAGATTCAAACAATAATAATAATTGGCGTTATTCTTAAAATTTAAATAGAATGGAAAATGCTAATGTGAAACTAGAGCCCTTTATTTTATTTTAAGTATTAATTTTTTTTTATTAGATGGAACTCAATAATTATTTTGGTAAAAGGCTAGGAATAGGAACTTTACGATTTAGCCATTATATTATTAATTACAATATATAAAAATTCAGATTTGAACAAAAGGAGCGAAACTTGAAACCGGCGAGTTTAGAAATTTTAATCATGACATTTTTGACGTCACAACTAATTTATCTATGAAGAGCCGATATCAAGATCTCTGAAAAATGGTGCATGTGTATTTAGAATTTACCATGTATCCTTCCTGTATGGAGGTACTATGAATTAATGTCATGGTGTAAAAATAAAATCACCAGTTTAGGTAACTACATTTGATAAGTTCAATTAAATAAATCATCTAACATTGTATC